ATGAATTTGATTCCAAAATGATCCTCTATGAGATATTTACAATATAATATCCTTAAATGACAAGCCAATTAATGAGGTAAAAATAAGTAGTTTACTGTATATATGAAGGGTACTGGTATTAATAAGCACAACTTATTACAGTTTGTATCCCCAAGTTTCTATCTAAATAACTAAGCAAAGAATTTATTTGAAATACTCTGTAACATTCAATACCATAGTATCCTGACCACTGGGGCTAGCAAAACGGATTTTCCCTGTGAAAAAAACAACAACATAATTTTGAGCAACACATTACTGTACTCACTTTTTACTCAATGTACTATGCTAAAGGACTAAAAAAAATTATCTCTTGAGCAAATTATGAGATGTTTATACTCAAATTATTCGCTATCTTGCACGGATTCCAGCAATGTAAGTCATATTCTCTTAAGTCAAGTCTGTGGCATTTTATAAGAGAAAACTTTAAGCCTAAAACAAAATTCATCCCATTAATCATTACCACCATCATCTACCCCCCCCGTTGGCTGGGAGGTGGGGCCAGGAGGGGAGATTAACACATACTCAAGGATTATATGAGGCAGGGAGTTTTCGTTTTTTTTTTATAAAATATCACTGACTCCGTTTAGCAGAATATAACTTGCATTGCTGGAATCATTGCAAGATAGCGATTAATGTGAGTATAAACATCCCATAGTTTACAATAGATATAAAAATTTTAGTAATGAACTTTGTACATTTGAGTAAAGGTTGTGATAATTTATGCGGTTGCTCAGCAGTTGTGGTTGAAGTTGCGAAGCTTCGTGACATCACTAGGTCTCCATATGCCCTAGTTTATTCATTGATCAGTTGCCTAAGTGCAAATGTAGCCCAGTCAAGCCATCATGTATCAATTTTAAAATAGAAATTATAATGTAAAATGTTATAAGACAATGGTTTAGTAGTGCTGTTAATGGGTGTGCAGTGTAAGTGTCTTGGCATGTTACCTCACCACCTGACTCCTGAACAAACTCTTCACCAACTTCTTCAAACCCTACAATGTGCTTGGCAAGCTCAACAATATTTCTCTGAATGCTTGGCACACGCATGCATGCACACACGTACACACACACACGTACACACACACACACCTGCCGCACTCCATCACCATAAGCTGCATCCGTTTTATGGGTCACTGTTTCTGCCATCATAAAGGTTACCCTACACATTTTGAAAACAATTATGGGCTAGTGGAAATTTCTGTAGGCTAAAGGAAAGTTTTTAGACTCAACAGTCCTGCCAACACATGCATGTTTTCGCTTGCTCACCAGTTGGAATATTAGTCCGCCAATACAGTAATCGGTTCTAGGTCTTAAATTCGTTCCCATTTGAGTAAATATCAAGAAGGTTGTACTATTCAATAATTTTCCAAGTTTTATATTAAATTTTTTAGTAATTTTAACAATTATTTAACATAATTGGAGTACTGGAAACTAGTTTTTGCTGCGCCCAAAGGCGTCAGTTTGTATCTCTGGTCAGTGGAGGTAACATCTTGCTTGTGGCTCTCTTGAACATAAACTATTTTTACGTTTTTACAGTACAATTATTGGTCATTCTGAAATTTATTTTACATATTGATAATATATAGCGCAGTGCAGTGATGATTTAAAGAAAATAATCTTTATTTACAGCAATTAAACTTAAAATTTTAGTGTAGAAATTGAATCCATCATGGGTCCAAAGAAATCTAGAAAGGCGATTTCAATCCAGGTAAAACAGGAAATAATAAAGAAACATGAACAGGGCATTAGAACAAATGTGCTTAGTAAGGACTATGGCATGTCGGCATCAACTGTGTCGACAATTCTTGCACAAAAAAACAAGTTTAAGGAAGTGAAAGTGAGAGACAAATCTACCAGAGTGTTTAAAGGTAGATCCTTAATTGCAGAAACAGAGAGGTTGCTTCTCATTTGGATAAAGGAAAAACAAATGAAAGGTGATTCAATTTCGACAGAATTTATTTGTGAAAGAGCCAGGGAGATTTACGAACATTTGAAGGAAGAGCAACCTGTTTCTTCTGGCACAAAGTTCGAAGATTTTCGGGCAAGCAAGGACTGGTTTGAAATATTTAAGAAAAGAAGTGAAATTTTCAGTGTTATTAGGCATGGTGAGGCTGCCAGTGCAGATAAAGAAGGAGCAGCAAAATTTGTAGTGGACTTTAAAGAACTGGTGGAGGAAGAAAATTATCTTCCACAGCAAGTGTTCTATGTGGACGAAACTGGGCTGTTCTGGAAGAAAATGCCCAAAAGGACATTCATCATCAGAGATGAAGCCTCTTTACCTGGGCATAAACCCATGAAAGACTGTCTCACTCTATTGCTTGGTGCCAATGTTTCAGGGGATTTCCGACTGAAGCCTATGCTTGTCTACCACTCTGAGAACCCCAGGGTGTTCAAGCAACAAAAAGTGGTAAGAGGACAGCTTGGAGTTTATTGGAAGTCCAACCGTAAGGCATGGGTGACAAGACAGCTCTTTAATGAATGGGCTGTTGAGGTGTTTTGCCCTTCTGTCAAGAGCTACCCAACCACCAATAAACTCCCTTTAAAGGCTCTTCTCCTTATGGATAATGTCCCTGGTCATGACCCTGAACTTGCCAGCACTTTGGAGGCTCGATTTGACTTTGTCAAAGTGTTGCTTTTGCCTTCCAACACTACATCAATTATACAGCCAGTGGACCAGAATGTGACCAGCAACTTTAAGAAGCTGTACATGAAGAAAATGTTCAGGATGTGTCATCAAGCAACTTCCACTCGTCCTGATCTAACAATGGCACAGTTCTGGGAGACACAATTTAACATCCTGGAGGCTGTAAAATTGATTGTCTCATCATGGCGAGAAGTCTCCATTAGATCCCTCAATTCTGCATGGAAAGCACTGTGGCCATCAGCAGTCCATGATTTTGAGGGATTTGAGGAAGAAGCGGAGTTGGACAAGGAGATTGTGTCCATTGGTCAGTCAATGGGCCTCGAAGTGGAGGAGGATGATGTGGAAGAGCTTGTGATGTCTCATGAGCAGGAACTTACTCTTAAGACTTAAAGCAACTGGATGAGATGTTAGAAGCTGACAGTGGTGAGGAGGAAAGGGAAAGTAATGACCATATGTCTTCTTCAGATTTGAAGGATGTTGTTCACGACTGGGAGGAGTTCAGGAAACTTGCTTCAAGGCACCCAGATGTGGAAACAACAGAACCTATTTTGTGTAATGTTGAGGACAGAGTGGTCTCCTTCAAAAATCAGTTAATGATGAGGAGGAGAAATGGCCCACAAACAAAAATCGACAGTGTCTTCTCTAAGAGGCGGCGGGAGAAAGATGCTGCAGTACCTCCCAGCATTCCACTTCAAAAAGGAGAGAGGATTTTCCTACTGGAGAATCTGTCAGTCCAGAGGTTCCTGACATTTTCATGGAAGGTGACTCGCCTTCCAAGAAGCAGTAAAATGCTTCTCCTCCACCCCCACTTCCTTCTCTTCTCCCTTCTCCTCCTCCACCTCCCACTTCAAATTCACATCAGCATCATCATCCAGGAGCCTTCTACATACACACCTCAAAGTAAGTGTACTTTACTGCATTATTTTTTTACTTTATGTAATTTTCGGTGAGCTGGAACCAATTACCCGAAATCCCATTGAAACAATGGTTTCGGTTAACGAAATTTTCGGTTAACGAGCAACCTTCTGGAACGAATTGTGTTCGTTAACCGAGGGACCAATGTAAATCAACAATAATAAGATCACACAAGAGGAGATGGGACGCTATTGTTGTCAGTGTTTACACCCATAATATATTAGTTATCCACCTGAAACTGAAGAAAATAAGACCCTGGTTGTTGCTGTAGTAAAATTAATGTAAAAAAAATATGTGTTTTAATTCATATTATAAATGCACAGCAAAGGTAACCACTGAAGTTTAATAAAAAATTTAAATAATAGTGATACAGTAGTGGAATGGCAGTTTGTATACTTGCGCCCTCATGGAAACTGAGTCATTTATCTTAAGAATATGTACAAAAGATTCATTATTGTTTTACCGAATATGTATTTGATTGAATTAATCTTTATATATGCGAAATGAACGATGCAATTCATTAATAATACGTAGAATATTAAAACACACAAGAGGAGACGAGATGGCATTGTTTTCGTGAGTGTAAATTGAATTGGGTCCTAAATTAACCGGGTTTTAAATATGAATCGTGGTTAGTAGAACCATCGTTATCGGAGGCTTTCCTGTACTGTACTCTCTTCTTCACTCTACCAAACAGGGAGATACTACCGCCTGGGAAGATATTGGAAGCATAATGTGTTGTTTATTGGTAGACCCTGATGCCATATGTGACCAAGTCCCAGGTTGCTGATCTGACTTTCTGCCTCATTTACACACAATCGCAGTCTCATTTGTTTCTCTTACTTTGAGAACACAACAGACATACTGATATCGTTTCTCACTATTAATTTTTTTATTTTTATTTATGGTTCTTTATTATTACTATTATTATTATTATTATTATTATTATTATTATTATTATTATTATTATTAATATTATTATTATTATTAATATTATTATTATCAGTGTTATTGTTATTAATATTATTTTATTTTTATTTTTTTTTATTAAAATTTTTATTTACTATGAACTAATTATTATTATTATTATTGTTATTATTATTAAATTTTCGCCCCCCAGGCCCCGACGTGGGTCAGTGACCTGTGCCCGGGTGGGCTAATCCCCGTAAAAAAAAAAAATGCCCTCACTCTGTCAGTGCTATACTATCTTTTACTCTACAAATACTGTATTCTTCTTCATCCTACCAATGCTGTACTCTCTCCTACAACTCTCAATGTTGTACTCTCCCCTTCACTTTACCCATAAATAAACAGAAGAATCAATAATACAATGTAAATGAACTGTAGCTATACAAGAAAGTTAGCCTAAAAAACAGTTGAGAAAGTGATAATAAACAGAATACCTTTTGCTAATAAACTTGTGATCATTGACAGAACATTCTCCACACTTCCAGCCATTTTGGTCTCCATGGACATTTGAGTAAAGTTTTCATATCCAAGAAGACGTGCTTGTTCCCCCCTGTTATGAAAAAAAGAGAATGAGACTTCTACTATTAATAAATATCTTTGTTAAATGTCATTCTTTTAACAGTGTCACTGTAAAGTACATTCCATATTTTTGATGAAGTAGTTCTTACATCCATTTTCAGGCAGTTCCTAGGTTACTAACATCCGACTTACGAACAGTCTTTTATTTACCTGGTGACGTTATTTTTTACTTTCATTTACTGTATTTTGACATTCAATCTCTTCTTTTTTCTTAAATTAAGTAATTTTAGATGTATATAAAGACTTAGGCTATGATATACAGCTCGTCCCTGACTTATGACCTACTCGACTTACGACCACTCGCACTTACGACCTGCCTCGGTAGTACCAAAATTTTGTCAAATTACGTATTTTCAAGTCCCAACATCAGCACACAGAGAAAATTTTCGTTTGTAATTCACTTTAAAATGGCTGGCAAGCTTAAAAGTGAGAGTTTTGTGGTGCTGAGAAGAAAAAGAGACACCCATTTTAGATTTTCTATGTATTATTTAAGCATTTTCGAGTTACGACCATTTTGTCTTACGACCTGGATTTGGGTCCCTAACCCCGTCCTAAGTCAGGGAGGAGCTGTAGTGGGATTTTTAACTTTGTTCTGTAAGTACATTATGCACATAGCATGTGTTCCGACTTACGTACATTTTTTTTTACTTAAGAACGTCCCCAGGGATGTAACTCGTTAGTAACCCAGGGACTGCCTGTATGCATACAAGAGCAAAATTGAGAAATGACTCAGAAATCCCACTTTATAACCAAACCTGGATTAGACAATGCACATTGAACAAGGGTTCTCAACCTTTCTCTCCTCTTGTATTCTTTGAGTCCTTTCAGCATTGGTCCTATACCCACCTCAGAACATAATTGATTCAACATCAAGGAGCATAGTTCATTAAGCCGACTGGTTTTCTTGGAGATAATTTACCTGTCCATAGTTACTCGAATACATAAGAACTATTTGCATCCATTGTATTTCATGTGTATTGCCAAACTAATAGGAATTCTTACCTACTATCAAAAATAAGTTTTGCCCTTTTTAGGATATTATTATTATTATTATTATTATTATTATTATCAGTTATTATTATTACTGTTGTTATCGTTATTGTTATTATTGTTGTTGTTGGTGGCGGTGGCAGAGATGCTGACATTTGGCAGGGAATCATAGGGAGAAATGGACTGGGCAAGAGTAATCCCAATGGCCTACTCCTCCTCAGCAAGCATGCTGCATGTAACCTTACAATCATCAATACCTTGTTTAGGCAGGCCGATAAGTTCAAGAGATCGTGGCAACACCCACAATCCAAACACTGGCATTTGATTGACTACATTATTGTCAGAGAAAGAGATGGCGAGATGTCCTCATCACCCGAGCCATGCATGGCTCAGATCACTGCGACACTGATCATCGGATCTTCAGAGCCAAACTCTCACTTCACGTTACCTCAAAACAGCGAAGGCAGCAAGCTTCCAGAATACGTTTTAACACTAAGAGTCTGGAGGATCCAACAGTAGCACATGCTTTCAGAGAGCAGCTGAACATGGGCTGATAAACAACCCAGCAACAACCCAAATCCTAGTGCCGAATGGGATATTCTCGACACTGTCATGACAGAGACCCTTGGCGAGATTGAAAGAATACACCAGGACTAGTTTGATGGAAATGAACAGGATATCAATGTACTCTTCGATGATAAATGTGCTGCTTTAGCTGACTGGCAGAACAGCCCTCAGTCTCGAATCACAGCTGATATCTTCAGCAAGAAGAAAGTGGCGGCCCGGCGATAACTTCGCAATTTAAAGAATGAATGGTTTGAAAATAAAGCATGTTAAATGCAAAAACTTGCAGATTAACACAAAATGCGAGAATTTTTCAAGTCCACTGAAACATTTTATGGGCCAATCACTCACGGATCAGCCCCCCTCCACTCATCCTAAGGTAACTCCCTAATTAAAGACCATTCACTGCTCAATCTAAACACCTCAGCTATCCTCCATTTCTGGACAAAGTAACTACTGCCATCAAACAGCTGAAAAATAACAAAGCCTCAGGACCTGATGGAATCCCAGCCGAGATGTATAATGCAGGAGGACCTCTGCTTACCAGCCATCTCCACTCTCTCCTGGAGAAAATATGGGAAAAGGAGGAAGTCCCCCAATCACCGATGTGAACGTCCTGACTATCCAGCAGGTCCTCAGCATCCAGAACTGACCCACCTCAGCTATCCTCCATTTCTGGACAAAGTAACTACTGCCATTAAACAGCTGAAAAATAACAAAGCCTCAGGACCTGATGGAATCCCAGCCGAGATGTATAATGCAGGAGGACCTCTGCTTACCAGCCATCTCCACTCTCTCCTGGAGAAAATATGGGAAAAGGAGGAAATCCCCCAAGCCCTTACGATGCCTCCATCATTAATATTTGTAAGAACAAGGGAGACTGGTCAGACTGTGGCAATCACTGCGGGATTTTGCTGCTGTCCATATCTGGCAAGATTATTGCCCGAGTCATTCTAAACTGACTTCTTCCTGAGGAGGAAAACTTTCTCCCAGAATCTCACTGTGGCATTAGACCATCACATGGCACCACTGACATGATCTTTGCTGTCCGCCAGATACAAAAAAGTGCAGAGAGCAGCATCGTGACTTGTACATGGCCTAACCAAGGCCTTCGACTCAGTCAACAGGGAAGCCCTCTGGTGGATCCTCAGCCGTTTTGGCTGCCCACCCAAATTCATCGCCATCGTGAGGCAACTCCACGATGGCATGAAAGGCAGTGTCCTGCACAATGGCACCCACTCTGAGGTCTTCCCCATACAAACGGGGGTAAAACAAGGATGTGTACTGGCACCAACTCTTTTTCCATTTTCTTGGCTGCCTTCCTTACTCGTGCCAGTGTCAATTTAGCTGGCAGGGTGGACATCAAGTACTGTAATGGATGAAGGATCTTTTCAAAATCAGACAACTCCAGGCAGGAACAAAGGTGTCGGCAGTTTCCATTACTGAAATACAGTATGCAGACCTCACCCTTGTAACCGACACTGAACGCGACCTATAGGAAACCTTGAACACCTACACAGATGCATATGCACACTTCGGCCTTGAGGTGAATGTATGTAAGACTCGGATTCTCTTTCAGCCTGTCCCTGGTTCAGCCACATCTCCACCATCCATCCAGCTGTACGGTACTACCCTCTCTAATGTTCCCCACTTTCAGTATCTTGGCTCACACCTGTCCACCACCTCAGACATCGATGAAGAGATTCAACTTCGGATCAGATGTGCATCTCAAGCCTTTGTCAGACTCCATACCCGTGTTTTCACCTGTAGGGAGCTGAAATTATCTACAAAGTTGCACGTATATCGAGCAGTGGTCCTCCCCACCCTGCTATATGGCAGCTAAACATGGATCACATACAGGAGGCACCACAAGACACTTGAAAACTTTCACCAACGTAGTCTATGTTCCACCTTCCGAGTTCGCTGGGAAGACAAGAGAACAAATGCCAGTATTCTCACTGACACCAACTGTACGAGCATCGTACATGAACAACCAGGTTGGACTGGCCATGTTACCCGCAAGGACAACAGTAAACTGCCAAAGGAGCTACTTTACAGTCACCTAATGAATAATAAACGTTAAGCTGGATTATCGTCATACTCGATTCCAAGTGACAGCAAAGTAGTAGCAGTACGTGGTGGGGGTGGTGGTGTGGGCCAGGCCTACTTTAGGGAGCGCAATCTTGCGACTCCTGCCCTTGAGGCCAGCGTTAGAAGGCAAATTATTCTATGCACGCTGTCGCTGCCCACATATAAACAGACGCTCAGGTGCCTCTTACAATATTACACTCATGACAGCTCCCTGGCTCCAATAACTCTCCACATACTGGCAATAATACCTCATCTATTTTTGCCAAAGAACACACGCAGGGAGTAAGTACAAGGAAGATGTAGCTGCAACAAAGAGAAGACACGCTGTGGCAGAAAGGGACACTGGACAATCTCCTAAGAGAGGCAAGAACATTGCAGCAGAAACTAAAATTTACAGGAGACAGAAAGCAAGTCACAGAGGATGCTGCCAGAAAGTTTGGTAACAAGATGCCTGTTGGAAGAGTGTCCTTGGCGGTAAGATATCTTACAGAGGAATCCTCCGGTGGTGTTCTGCCAATAACAAGACCTTACAACAAATGAAGCAAAAGCATCCCCAAGCAAGTGCAGAGAAAGGCATCAAGTTCCTGGGCAACTATGTCCTTCCAAACTCTATCATGTTCGAGAAAATAACAGGAGGGATGGTGTGGAAAAAATCACTGAAAACACAAGGGGGTGCAGGCCCTTCACGCCTGGATGCAGACTGGTGGAAAAGCACACACAGCACTAACAAGTTTGGCGACGCTGCAAGTGATCTCTGCAATGCCACTGCCGGCCTTGCAATAAAGCTAGCAACCTCATGCTGCGATCACCTACAAGCCCTGATGGCCTGCTGCCTCATCCCCCATAACAAATATCCAAGATGTAGGCCTATAGGGGTGGGGAAAGTGCTGAGACGGATCATTAGAAAATGCATAATGGAGGTAGTCATTGATGATGACAGGGCAGCTAGAGGGAACCTGCAAGTATGTGGGCCGGGGGGTGAAGCTGCCATTCATGCCATGAGAAAGATAATTGAGCAGCGTAATTGTCAGGCAGTACTCTTCCAACGCATTCAACATAATCAACAACAAGGCTAAGATACACAAAATCAACATCATGTGTCCAAGTTTTGCAATGTATGTTGAAAACATCTACAGGATCCCATCAGACCTCTGTTGTATATAACAAGCTTCAAGCCCAAAGAGGAGAAACCACCCTACAGTTGACTGAGGGAATTAGGCAGGGGGATCCGGTTGCATTGACAATGAATGCAATAGGTCTATCCGTGCTCAACATACAATAAAATATGCAACAACCGAAGTCAAGCAATTGGCTTATGCTGATGATCTAACAGGAGCAGGAAAAGTGGAGGACAACAAAAAGTGGTGGGACCTGGTGACATCACGTGGTCCACAAATAGGGTACCACCCAAATACCAGTAAGTCCTTCCTCATTGTGAAGCCAGAATACCATTATCGGGCTATAGAGATGTTCGACGGAATTGAGGCCAAAATAACATAGGACGGCCAAAGACATCTAGGTGCGGTAATAGGCACGAACGATTTCAAGACAGAGTACGTAACGGGAAAGGTAAATGAGTGGGTGAAAGAAATTCAAGCTCTGTCGGAGATTGCTAAAACTGAGCCATGTGCAGCTTTTGTGGCACTCACGCATGGAATAAAGGATCACTGGAATTACCTGTTGTACACTATCCCTGATATCGGATCCCTCCTCCACCCTCTGGAAGATGCCATCAAGGTCACTTTTATCCCAACACTAGTGAAAAACCCTTATTTAACCTCAGCAGAAAGGTCGCTCCTTGCACTACCAATGAGACAGGGAAGAATGGGATTGACTAATCCAGAAGAGCTTGCTGCCACCAAATATCAGAACTCTGTCGGGCTCACAGCAACCCTCACTGAGCTCATAATAGCCCAGCATGCAGCAAGCCAGGTGGATACCAACGAATTAAACAAGATTCAATGTTCCATTACGACAGAACGGTTACGCACCCAAAGTTATAAACTTGAACACCTGATGTTGCAATTGTCAGTGAACTTGAAAAAAAAAAGTAGTTTTAGTGCAGGAGGTGGGCACCTCAAACTGACTAACAATGTTACCGATAAGGGCAAAAGGTTTCAGCCTTAAAAAAACAAGAATTTACTGATGCCATTGCTCTAAGGTATGGTTGGCCAGTAGAAGGTTTGCCCTCCCAATGCATGTGTGGCTCAACCTATGACATTAACCACGCCATGGTGTGTAACAAAGGAGGCTTTGTATGCATGAGGCATGACGAAGTAAGGGATCTCACAGCAAATATGTTGAAGGAAACCTGCCATGATGTCATGGTGGAACCGACCCTCCTTTCATTGGACGGTGAGAATCTCCACTACAGGACTTACAAACACATTCAATGAAGCCCGTGAGAATGTCGGCGCTCGAGGATTCTGGACGCGAGGACAACATACCTTCTTTGATATAAGGATTTTCGACCCCATGGCTGCATGTCACCGTAACCTAGTTCTTGATGCTACACACAAGAGGAATGAAAATTACAAGAACAGGACGTATGGGGAGAGAATTCAGAATGTGGATCAAGACAACTTCACTCCTCTGGTGTTCTCAACCTCTGGTGGGATGGGACCAAGTGCAAGATGTTTCTATGCAAGACTGGCCGAGGTGTTATCTGAACAGAAGCAGCAGCGCAGAAGCCAAGTTACAGCCGGGTTGAGATGTCAACTGCCCTTCTCTCTGCTTAGGTCTGCATTGCTTTGCCACAGGGGAACGAGATCGTCGACCCCAAAGCCAACATCATCATTATTAATGACTATGAGGCAACAGTTACTGAATGCCACATAGATATGTGGCTTAACTAACTCAACACATATAGGGTAGCTACTTTTGTATTTGGATATTTTAAAAAAGGCACCAGCAGCCTCCTCCATCTGATGTGATTTATCCTTGAGGTAAGAAATAAGTTATCTCCTATACATATTTTTAATTTATTAAACTAGGTCAAATATATTGATATATTTTATTTCATACGCTAGGTGATTATCACCCAGTATTATAGGGCACAAGTGACTACAGCAGTGGTCCCCAACCTTTTGTAGGCTCTGGGCCACATTCGTTATTGTAAATATAGTGGAGGGCGCCAGAACTTTGGATCAACAATTAAGAATAAAATAAAAATAAAATCATATCCAGTATTCAGTTATTTGCAGTTTTACACAAGTCTTACTGTTACCAGTTACATACTTTATACATTTACTCTTAGATCATGATAGCTCTCTCTCTGGGCCCGATCTGTGGTTAAAAAAAAAAAAACACACACACACATACTTTTCTAATAAACCCTTGCGAGTTCCATAATATGGTTCCACGGGCGCTGAACTACAGATTGGGGACTACTGGACTACAGAATACACCTGAAAGTCAGACTGGAAACTAGTCATACCTTGCAAACCAGACGGGTACACAAGGATAAAGTCTAGAACTGGAAAATTATTAATCCAAATTATTAGCTTTAATTTAAAATCCATTTAATATACAAACAGCTTTTCAACGTGGTACAGGTACTGGTCACGAAGGAATACAGCTCACAGTTATCACTAGCCAACCAAGCTGATCAACCTATATATTCCACTCACCCTTACAGATTTCTACTGGCCTCAGGGTAGCAGATGAGCTTTAATTTCGAACCCTGTATAAGGACTGTTCTTCATTTGTATATAAACTTAGAACGGGTCTTATTTTCAGGACCCAGTTGTATACCCTTTACTGTTCCCTCACCCCAGGTTGAGAACCCCTGATGTCGATATATATAATAGCTGAATGCTGAAGGAAACAGTTATTACTTAACATAAAACTGGAGAGGTGAACAGTGTCAGAGAAAGAAAGGCAAGTACAATAATGATTGGCTTCACTACTGCATTGAATGACAATCAGGACCAAGTACACAAGGAAAAATAAAGGCAAACTGGAGGGGAGCACAGGTATCCCTCATCTAACGTTAAATCAGTTAGGCAATAAATTTTTTTACACCCATTCTCAATTAACATTAGGTCAAAAAAGGGGAAAAACTGGGGATGAGGTGGCCTGTTGCCTCTGTTACATGTAAGGAAACTATGAGTTGTGAAAAATTCATCACAATTCTCTAATCTGCTTAAAAATAGAGATATACAGTCTCTCCTCGACTTACGACGGGGTTCCGTCCCGACGACCAGGTCGTAAGTCGAATTGGTCGTTAGTCGAAAAGGCGAAAATAATACATAGAAATTCTAAAATGGGTGTCTCTTTTTCTTCTCAGCACCACGAGAACTCTCACTTTTACGCTTGCCAGCCATCTTAAAGGGAATTACAAACGAAAATTTTGTCAGTACACTGCGCGATCACTAACGCCAGGACTCGAAAATACGTAATTTGAAAAATATTTTATACGACCACGGCGGTCATATGTCCTGATTGTAGTAAGTCGAGTATGTTGTAAGTCGAGTAGTACCTGTAATATAAAACTATAAAATATGAAAAATGAAGACCATGGGTGTGTGAAGTGAATGGGTTTGTAGAAGCAGTGGACTGTAACTGTGTCATGAGCCTAGCTGTGCTCCCTGACTCTCTCCCCCAATGTGACGTTATGACATACACACAAGGTGGCAGCAGCCACGCATCTCTGAGTAAGCTGGATGACTGTCCGGCTGAGCTGTGTCACATCGCCCAGAGGATGGTTTGAGTGTGGAAGGAGCGATTTTTTTTTACATAAAATATGTGCAATTATATTTTATGAAATGCTATGTACAAATTTTATAGGCTTATCATAGCAATTTTTGTTCATTTCTGACATATGTAATTTTAAATTTGTCTAAATTTGTCTCACTTGTGCTCACTAAATCATTTAACTCTGAACCATATTGTTTATATAGAAATTTGGTGTTAATAAATCAATTGCTGAACTTCGAAACTGTTTTTATCTAACTTGTTTACTATTATTATTATTATTATTATTAATTAATATTATTATTGAATACAGTAGTAAACTTATTATTTACCACCCTGCCGCTAGTTTAGTGATAATTTTGCTAATGTTAGGTTTTCCCGGAATGTAAACTTATCGTTAAACGAGGGATACATGTACAGGATTAGGGTATGAGTTGTACAAGTGTAAAAATGAAAGGGTTTAGTAAAATGAAAAGCAAGGCATAAAGGGGGTTAAAAGTATGAGACATTACTGCGGTATGATGGTGTAAAACATAAGAGATATAACAACACTATACATGGAGGGGTTTACAAAAAGCCAACTACTCTGTATAGTACAGTATAAGAGAAAACATGAGATAAAGACAAATACTGTACAGTATAACTGTATAGTAACTGGTCAACACATTACCTGAGAGACCTAATTTCTTCAATATGAATGCTGTTACTAAGGTCTTTGGATATGTGGTTTGAAGCCCTCATGTTACACGCCCGATAAGTATTACGACGCAGGTCAGTCAATGGGCAATGTTCCAAGAAACTGCTATACACGTGTGGCTGAAGTGTGATGACCCATGGACCCTGCTTATAACGAGACCTGGAAAAAAATGACATGATGACGGGTGAGAGGGTTCTTTTAACCCCTTCCTGGTTATTTTATTTCATTTTTAGGGGATTCAAACCACCCAGTTTTCCAAAAATTACAGAAATGAAATAATGCAGATATCAAGAGGAACATTAATCTCATAAGAGCAGGACCAGATCCAGATCTTAAATTTGACTGATGAAATCTTTCAGTTTTTGCAGTTGAGGCTCGCCCAGAATTTACTAAATCTATGGAATTTCTCCACCTCATTTTCCAATGCTCTATTTTTTATCAATAATTAACTAATTTAATTTGATAAATATATCTTTAGCCAGATATTTCAACCTGCTGTATATCTCTTCATAAATTAAAAAAAGGAGTAAAACTATATTCCTTTTGTTTTATAGATTAAAACAATACAGTACAGAAATATATCCGTTAGCCGGAATCCCCCAAGCCCGGAACTCTCTGATAGCAGGAATTGAAATTTGCTCGGAAAATCATTCCCAAACTTGGAATTTTCCAAAAATTTACGACTTTGAGAAAATTTTTTCCTAGGTTAAAAATCGAGAACATTTCTGAAATGTCTTGAATAGAGACGAAAGCTAACGTATTTTGGGGGAACATGACCAGACCTGACTCAACATCAGGTGGAGGTAAGGTGGGGGATTAGTGGTCTCATATTACTGACCTTCTGATGGAATGTCAGGTCACCCTTTCCTGGGTGGGGGATTAGTGGGTCTCATGGCCTGAAGATGTCTTGAATAAACACAGAAGCTAAAGTATTTTTAGGGAGATTGTGATAAGTATCAGTATAAATGAGCAAAGTTGTATCCCTTCAACATTACGTTATATAACATTTTAAAATATGGAGTGAGAAAGCAGAAAGGTTTGGGTGATTAGAGAGATGAAGGAGTGGTTAACATGTACCAGTGTTGCCAAGTGATAAGCTCTTCAACAGCTGATCTTTTAATTCACCTCCATGCAGTCACACAACAAGACCCTCACTGGATGAATGTTGTCTTAATTCCCGTGTGTGTGTGTGTGTGTGTGTGTGTGTGTGTGTGTGATAAATAATAATAATAATAAACGGTTTATTAATAGAGTTGCAGCCGGTGGCTCAAAATATACAAACTTACATGTGATTTAGACATAATAATATACATTCAATACATTTACAGGGCTGTACAGTACATAAATCAGGAGCTGTTTATTATTTTAACAATAAATTGGATGGTGCTATTCTTATATCTATCAGTGCGGGCACTTATGGGCTGAATTTTGTTGTAGTGGCTGACTGCACGAGGTGGGCGGGGGACTGCCGGTAGCTAACGAGGATGGTGCAGTAGTCCACTGCCAAACCCTGCTAGTGCGTGGTGGTGGTCACTAAGGGATGGCATTTCCAGGGTAAAGAGAGCGTTGTTGTAGCCGGAGTAGTCTGCGCCGAGCATGATTCTTCAGGCCCTCTTCTGTACCTTCTCTAGCTGACATTGTTGGGTAGAGTTGAGAGAAGACGACCAGGCTGGTGACACATACATTAATTTAGGTAGAATAAATATGTTGTAGATAGTCCTCAGCTCTGGCGTGGGTGCCCCAAGTGACCTGAGTCGTCGTAGCATGTAAAGTCGGTACAAGGCTGCCTTGATTGTGTTGTTTACATGGGCCTTCCAGTCCAGTTTGTGGTCTATAGTTACACCCAGGAGTTTGGCAGACTGCACTAACTAAAGAGGATGGGCACCCACTGTAACTGCTGGAGCTTGACGGGAGTGGTGGGGGTGTTGATGTGCATGACTACGGTTTTGGTGTGATTGATGGTGACCTTGTTCTCCGTAGTCCATGCCTGTAGCCTGTCCAGGGTGCCTTGTAGTGATGAGTAGTCCAGTCTCTCTCTCGTGTGTGTGTGTGTGTGTGTGTGTGTGTGTGTGTGTGTGTGTGTGTGTGTGTGTGTGTGTGTGTGTGTGTGTGTGTGTGTGTGTGTGTGTGTGTGTGTGTGTGTGTGTGTGTGTGTGTGTGTGTGTGTGTGTGTGTGTGTGTGTGTGTGTGTGTGTGTGTGTGTGTGTGTGTGTGTGTGTGTGTGTGTGTGTGTGTGTGTGTGTGTGTGTGTGTGTGTGTGTGTGTGTGTGTGTGTGTGTGTGTGTGTGTGTGTGTGTGTGTGTGTGTGTGTGTGTGTGTGTGTGTGTGTGTGTGTGTGTGTGTGTGTGTGTGTGTGTGTGTGTGTGTGTGTGTGTGTGTGTGTGTGTGTGTGTGTGTGTGTGTGTGTGTGTGTGTGTGTGTGTGTGTGTGTGTGTGTGTGTGTGTGTGTGTGTGTGTGTGTGTGTGTGTGTGTGTGTGTGTGTGTGTGTGTGTGTGTGTGTGTGTGTGTGTGTGTGTGTGTGTGTGTGTGTGTGTGTGTGTGTGTGTGTGTGTGTGTGTGTGTGTGTGTGTGTGTGTGTGTGTGTGTGTGTGTGTGTGTGTGTGTGTGTGTGTGTGTGTGTGTGTGTGTGTGTGTGTGTGTGTGTGTGTGTGTGTGTGTGTGTGTGTGTGTGTGTGTGTGTGTGTGTGTGTGTGTGTGTGTGTGTGTGTGTGTGTGTGTGTGTGTGTGTGTGTGTGTGTGTGTGTGTGTGTGTGTGTGTGTGTGTGTGTGTGTGTGTGTGTGTGTGTGTGTGTGTGTGTGTGTGTGTGTGTGTGTGTGTGTGTGTGTGTGTGTGTGTGTGTGTGTGTGTGTGTGTGTGTGTGTGTGTGTGTGTGTGTGTGTGTGTGTGTGTGTGTGTGTGTGTGTGTGTGTGTGTGTGTGTGTGTGTGTGTGTGTGTGTGTGTGTGTGTGTGAGGGGAGGGTGTGTGTGTATGTGTGTTAGTACTACACAGGGTGGTGAAATATGCCTAGTGTGGCAGCATTATGTTAATGTTAAGGTTCAAGCACTGCTTGCTCCCTCTCACTTTCAGCTGCCACCGCTGGCTAGCCCTTGTGGCGAACAGGAAAGCAACTTGCATAAGTCATCCCATGCCAGAACACAGCCTCTTCACCATCATGACTCCTGCTGTGCCTCCACGTGGCAACACACGGTAACTGGATGCCTCGTGGGCCCAGGCTAGATGAGCAGGGGATCTAGGAGTAGCAGTGGGCCCCAAAGGGATGGCGCACAGGATCACTGGCATGTGGACACGTCCTGGCACCTACCAACCACCGCCCCGCTGCCTTGCAGATTAACCTTGGCAGGTATAAGGCTGCTGGAGTAAACCCCGAACGAAAAGTCTGCGGTGGAGCCCCACATCAGGCAGACATGCTTACAGAACTCCAACAAGACCCCAACGGCAGTGTTAGCAGAAGAGGTGACCTCCATGGAAACCCAACATCTACACCGGCGGACGAAGCAATGCATGATGGACAGGCTACTAAGGCGAAACCCAACAAACTTGGCTATCAGCAGTCCATTGCAACTCTCCCTCTCCCCAGTCATTGCAACACTTGTACCACTGGATCAGGAAAAGGGAGAGCCAAGATGTGTGGTTGCAGCCTACGCTCCTGCCTCACCACATAAATCAACTAACACACAGCCATCACCCAGCTCATCATACCACTCATCATCACCAAACCCCTATACCCCCAAAAGTCCTATGGCAACGGGGACAGGCAGAGATGACTGCTGGGAGTCTCTAGTCACAACTCTGCACATGGGCGGCACAAATTAGATGGTCGTTTATGCACTTGGATCTAGGCAGCAGTGCAATCCCGTCCTGTCTGTGTGACTGAGCAGCCCTTACGAGGAGCTACTCTGCTCACCCCACAAGGGGAGGGGGTTAGAAAAGGTACCCTATACATAGCCTGCCTAAAAAAAAAAAAAAATAAAAAAAAAAACCTCACTGGGCATCCAAACCCAGTAAGGTCATCCTTATGCGGTCAAAAACACAATCAAAATCACAGATCCAAACAAAAACAAAACCATACAAATTCTTATGGTCGCTGCATGGAATGTCAGGACCCTTCTAGAAAATGGCACAAATGAGCATCCTGAAAGAAGAACTGCCCTTGTGGCAAAAGAGCTGACCAGGTATAACATCGACATAGCAGCCATCAGTGAGTCCCGGCTCCCAAATGAGGGCCAGCTCACAGAACGCAGGTCTGGCTACACCTTATTCTGGAAGGGTAAGCCTGTTGTGGAGAGATACCGCATTTATGGAGTTGGCTTTGCCATCTGCCAACGCATCCTACACAGGCTAACTGAAATGCCTATTGGGATCAACAAGCGCCTCACGAAGCTTTGGGTCCCACTGCATCACTCGCATCATGCCTTCTTCACCAGTGCATACGCCCGCAACACTGGATGCAGAGGATGACATCAAGGAGGCTTTTTATGCCGACCTCGACAGAGTGCTAACCTCTATCCCCAGAGAAGACAAGGTTGTGCTCCTTGGCAACTTCAATGCCAGAGTTGGTAGAGATGCTAACATTTGGCAGGGAACCATAGGGAGAAATGGACTAGGCAATTGTAATCCCAATGGCCAACTCCTCTGCAAGTGGGCTGCTCACAACCTCACTATCACCAATACCTTGCTTCGGCAGGCCGACAAGTTCAGGGATCCAAACACTGGCATCTCATTGACTACATCATTGTCAGATAAAGAAATTGCCTAGATGTCCTCATCACCTGTGCCATGCATGGCTCAGACCACTGTGACACTGATTGTCGACTTGTCAGACCAAGCTCTCACTTCAAGTTGCCCCATAACAGCAAAGGCAGCAAGCCTCCTGAAGAGGTTTTAATACTAAGCATCTGGAGGATCCAGCGGTAGCACGTGCTTTCAGAGAGCAACTCGAACATAGGCTTATAAACAACCCAACAGCAAACAACGTGAATCCAGTGCCGAATGGGATACTCTTAATACTGTTATGACAAAGACCTGCAGAGAGATCCTCGGCCAGTTCAAAAGAATACACCAGGACTGGTTTGTTGAAAATGATGCGGCAATCAAAGTACACATCGATGATAAACGTGCTGATTTTACTGACTGGCAGAACAACCCTCAGTCTCGGACCAAAGCTGATACCTTTCGCAAGAAGACAGCAGCCCAGCAGGAACTTCGCAATCAAAAGAACGGCTGGCTTAAAAATAAAGCATGCGAAGCACAAAAACTTGCAGATCAGCACAAGATGCACGAATTTTTAATTTCCATTAAAACATTTTATGGGCTAGTCACTAGTGGAACAGCCCCCCTCCACTCAACTGACTTTAACCACAAAATTAAAAATGCTGAAAGCCTCCTTCAGCACTGGAAAGAGCACTACCATTCATTGCTCAACCAAACACAAATGTGGATGTCCTGACTACCCAGCAGGTCCCTCAGCATCCAGAGCTGACCCACCTCAGTTATCCTCCATTCCTAGATGATGTAGTTACTGCCATCAAACAGATGAAAAATAATAAAGCCTCAGGGCCTGATGGAATCCCAGCCGAGGTGCATAAAGCAGGAGGACCTCTACTTACCAGCCGTCTCCACTCTCTCCTGGAGGATATATGGGAAAAGGAAGAAATCCCCTCAAGCTCTTAAAGATGCCTCCATTGTCAATATTTATAAGAACAAGGGGGACCGGTCATATTGTGGCAACTACCATGGGATCTCGCTGCTGTTCGTAGCTGGCAAGATTATAGGCAGTCCTCCGAAACAGACTTCTTCCTGAGGCAGAATCTCAATGGGATTTTAGACCATCACGTGGCACCATTGACATGATCCTTGCTGCCCGCCAGATACAGGAAAAGTGCAGACAAAAGCTTCGTGACCTGTGCATGGCTTTCATTGACCTAACCAAGGCCTTCGACTAGGTCAACAGGGAAGCCCTCTGGTGGACCCTCAGCCGTTTTGGCTGCCCACCAAAATTCATCACCATTGTAAGTCAACTCCACGATGGCATGAACGGCAGTATCCTGCACAACGACACCCAGTCAGAGTTCTTCCCCATTCAAACACGGGTTAAACAAGGGTGTGTACCGGCACCAACTCTCCTCTCTTTTCCATCTTCTTGGCTGCCTTCCCTACTCGTGCCAGTGCCAATTTAGCCAGCGGGGTGGACATAGAGGTCTTTTCAACATAAGACGACTCCAGGCAAGAACAAAGGTGTCAACAGCTTCCATTACTCAACTTCAGTATGGAGACGACCTCACCCTTGTTGCTCACACTGAAAGCAACCTACAGATCCTGAACACCTATGCAGACGCATATGCACACTTCGGCCTTGAGATGAATGTATGTAAGACTCAGATTCTCTTTTAACCTGCCCCTGGTTCAGACACACCTTCACCATCCATCCAGCTTAACGGTACTACACTCTCTAATACTGCCCACTTTCGGTATCTCGGCTCCCACCTGTCCACCACCGCAGATATCGATGAAGATATTCAGCATCGGATCAAATGTGCATCTCACGCCTTGGGCGGACTCAGAAATTGTGTCTTCAGCTGTAAAGAGCTGAAATTATCCACAAAGCTGCACGTATATCGAGCAGTGGTCCTGTCCACCCTACTACTGTATATGGCAGTGAGACATGGGTCACATACAGGAGGCACCTCAAGGCACTTGAAAACTTTCACCAATGTAGTCTGCGTTCCATCCTCTTAGTTCGCTGGGAAGACAAAAGAACAAATGCAAGATTCTTGCCGACACCAATTGTAGTAGCATCGAGGCTACCATTATCCATGAACAACTACGTTTGACTGTCCATGTTACCAGCATGGACAACAGTAGACTGCCAAAGCAGCTAATTTATAGTCACCTAACGAATAGTAAACGTAACGCTGGCGGGCAATTGAAAAGGTATAAGGATAGTCTTAACCCTTTGGCCCCGGGTGACGTTCCAGAACTTCCGCTTATTTTCCCGCCATTTTTTTTTTAATTATTTTTGGAAATGTTGATTTTTTTTTCTCGATTTAACCCCGCGTGGGGGGTACTGCCGGCAGCACCCTAACCCGGGGCTTAATGGTTAAGACAAACCTGAAAAGGTGCCAAATCGACCCCCTCACCTGGGAGTCGATTACTCCACGTTGTAACGCTTGGAGGAGCACCACACGGGAAGGTGTCAATATTTTCAAGTTAGCCCAACTGCAAACCGAGGCAGATAAGCGCCAACATCGGAAAGTCGCTGCCACCGCCCCTCCCACAGTAAATGGAGCCCTCCACATGTGCAACTTGTGTGGATAACGCTGTGGGTCCTGTATCAGGCTCTTTAGTCACCTCAAAACTCACTAACCTAGGTGACATCCCTAATAACCCGTATCATTTTACCATAGCAGGATGATCGTCACACTCAATTCCAAGTGACAGGAAAGTAGTAGTAGTAGTAGTATCAGACCTCTATATAATAAACAACAAGGCTCTAAGAGGTGATACCATCTTACAGTCAACCGAGGGAACAACACAAATAGGGTACCACCCAAATGCCAGCAAGTCCTTCCTCATCGTGAAGCCAGAACATTATGAACGGGTAATGGAGGCGTTTGGCGGAAGTGAGGTCAAAATAACAAAGGACGGCCAAAGACATCTAGGCACAGTAATTGGCACTACGGACTTCAAGACAGAGTACGTAGCGGGAAAGGTGAATGAGTGGGTTAGTAAAATCCAAGCTCTGTCTGAGATTGCTAACACAGAGCCACATGTGGCTTTTGCTGCATTCACCCATGAAGTCAAGCATTATTGGAACTACCTGATGCGTACTATCCCTGATATCGGACCCCTCCTCCACCCTCTGGAAGAAACTCTCAGTGTCAATTTCATTCCCAATTTAGTGAAACACCCCCTCTTAACCCCAGCAGAAAGATCACTTCTTGCACTTCCATCAAGATTGGGAGGTATGAGACTAACCAATCCAGAGGAGATTGCTGCCACCGAACATCAAAATTCACTTAAGCTCACAGCAGCCCTCACGGACCACATAATAGCCCAGAACGCAACAGGGGAGGTGGATACCAGTGAAGTAAACAAGTTTCGTAGGTCCATTACGGCAGAACGACAGCACTGCCAAAATGATAAGCTGCAGCAACTGTTGCTACAGGTACCAGAAAATTTGAAAAAAAGTAGCTATAGCGCAGGAGGTGGGCGCCTCGAACTGGTTAACTACGTTACCGATAAGGGCAAATGGTTTCAGTCTCAATAAACAAGAATTTACAGATGCCATTGCTCTAAGGTTTGGTTGGCCAGTAGAAGGTTTGCCCTCCCAATGCGTGTATGGCTCTTCCTATGATGTCGATCACGCCATGGTGTGCAAGAAAGGGGGCTTCATATGCATGAGACATGATGAAATAAGGGACCTCACAGCAAATATGTTGAAGGAAATCTGCCGGGATGTCATGGTAGAACCGACCTTCCTTCCTTTGGACGGTGAGATCTTCCAACATAAGACTTCAAACACATCTAACGAAGCCCGTGTTGACGTCAGTGCTCGAGGATTCTGGATGCCGGGACAGCGAGCCTTCTTCGACATCAGGATTTTTTATCCCATGGCCACATGTCACCGTAACCTACCTCTCGATGCTGCACACAGGAGGAACGAGAACGACAAGATAAGGGCATATGGGGAGAGAATTCAAAACGTTGATCAAGGCAGCTTCACTCCTCTAGTGTTCACAACCTCTGGTGGGATGGGACCAAGTGCAAGATGTTTCTACGCCAGACTCGCGGAGGTGATCTCCGAACAGAAGCAGCAGCCCAAAAGTTATGTTACAGCCTGGATGAGATGTCGACTGTCTTTCTCTCTCCTTCGGTCGGCTTTGCTCTGCCTCAGGGGAACGAGAGCTTCTGCCCCAATTCCGACAACTGCTGCAGATATCGACTATGAGGCTACAGTCACTGAATGCCGCATAGATCTGCGGCTCAACTAATTTAACACAGATAGAATAGCTACTTATGTATTAGGATATTTAATATTAAGGTAATGAATGGCGGCGAAGGTGTGGCTATTTGGGGGAGGCTGGAGGCCACGTCTAAAAAAAAAAAAAAAAAAAAAAATAGTAGTAGTAGTGCGTGCGTGTGTGTGTGTGATACGCGGAAGAGGTGACGTCACCACCATGGGAACCCAATGACTACACCAGCGGATAAAGGCAATGCCTGATGGACAGGCTACTAAGGCGAAACCCAACAAACTGGGCTATCAGCAGTCCATTGCAACTCTCCCTCTCCCCAGTCGTTGCAACACTTGCACCACTGAATCAAGAAAAGGGAGAGCCAAAATATGTGGTTGCAGCCTGCACTCCTGCCTCACCACATAAGTCAACTCACACGCAGCCATCATCCAGCTCATCATACCACTTATCATCATCAAAACTCCACCTTTATGAGTCCCCTAAGCCTCAAAGGGGACATGTAATGACAATCAGGCTAGTTCTTAGTGATGTGGAAAGTGTTGTTTAATTGTGTTGTACTGTTAGTGGAATTCTAGGATTTTTTTTTTCTTCTGTGATACATTGGGTGTCCAAGTGGCCAGGAACCTATCCCATTGAACCATGTTATAATGAACCTGATTTGCGATAATTTTGACCTGCGATTGTGTTTTCAGCAACTTAACCCCATCTCAAATAGAGGTTTACCTGTAGAGTACTGCACAACACAAATTGTATGCAAAAATCAGTATCGAGCAAGGAACAACCTTCTATAAAGGCAGCAGAATATAAACTATGAGCTCGAGCCAACAACCTAAGTTACCCAAGCAGTTAGCCCACCCACACGTCTGGCACATGGGGACATGTCGGAGCATGAAGCAATCTCTCAAAATTCCCAGAAAAGTTTTTCTGATTCCTGGAACAGAGAATTTTATTATAATTTTTCTTGAAAATGCTTTTGATTTCTTCCCTGGAAACTCGTTCCCATGCCCGGACTAGAGAGAGTTTTAACGGAATTTCCTGGAAGGTTCAAAATTCATTCCAGTTATTGGAGAGTTCTGGCTAACGGGGAGATTACTTATATAATGATTTGCTTACCGCTCAACTGCCATATTCTTCAACAAAGTATCTGGAAAATCTTTCACGATGTTGGGATCTTGTATGTTATATGAAAATCTGTTGGTAGATTCCTGAAAAAATAAAATAAATCCATAAATAAAAGATACACATTTGTCATCAACAGTGGCTATATACTTATCATGTTGCAGGTAAACAAGAATTAGACATGTGAAAAATATTGAAAGCCTAGCAATCATAAACTGATAATGAGAAGTTAAAAAAGAAAACAGGGAAAGATATCCGAGTACAGCTGCCATCATATAACTGGTGGCATTATACCTTTATTTTCCTTAGTATAGTGTGTCCGGTCTTAAAATATCAATTACCGTATATCTCGGCCTACAAGACGGAATATGAAAAAAAAAAAAAAAAAAATCAGCCCAAAGTTAGGGGGTCGTCTTAAGCACCAGAGATAAAATTCTTACCTCTTAAATATTGCGGTTTAGCGTGTCAAAAGTGGTGATGGAAACATGGTAAACCACTCACAAGGTCCTACCACTAATTATTTTATACTGAAACTTACGTTTGGGAAGCTGGATTAAAATGAAGATTACCGGTATATTAAAATAATAAAAATTTATTATAAACCTGTCTAACATACCGTAAAAGAACAATATACCCCGGTAATAAACACAGCTGCTATCATCACCCCCACCCCCCCCATTTGCCAGTGACAAGAAAGGGAAAGTGACCTTGACTGTGACCGCCTGTGGCTATTTTTAGCTGTCCTTGTGTTCGTCCTTGTGTTCGAGGTGGTCAGTAATGCATATCTGTATATTTACTGATCATAATACTTAGCTCCTATAAATAATTCATTTAAAATTTATTTTTTTACAAAGAATATTCAGTAAATGACTGCGTTAATTCTTGACACTACCGACAGTGGTAAATTTTGGATATAAATGATGAACAGAAGTCACGTCATGGATTCGGAGTTTGGTCCTTAATGGTCACCATAAATGTCTGGTCAACTTCACCTACCAGGTATAATGGTAGCCTCCCTTTTTTGCAAAACAAGTATATAAATTAAAGAAAATACTTGCAGTGTGTTTAATATATTACAGTACAGTCAACCCTCACTTACGCGGTTAATGTAACCCACAGGGTACCGCGGAAAGTGAGTAACACGTAAAGTGAATAACATAACATATGGGATTAAATGAAATAGAGACCAGCTGACCCCCAAACTCCACTTTTTCCCGACACAATACCTATGTTCTAGTAAAAATAACATCTTAATTTTATGATGGTACATGGACACAATTAATACTTAAGAGAAATAGAGAAATACAGTCGCCAAATTAATGTCCATTCAAATAATGGACTCAACTCCCTCTCCCTCTTCTCACACTACACTCGCTGGCTCTTCCCTCTCTGAGAAATTTTGGGGGGAAAACCAGGTATAGTAATAAATAATACCTCAAACTAAAGTTAGGATAATATAATTGACATTGCTGGATTCCTTGTAAGACCAGGAATATTTTGAATACAAATGTCATATATTTTGCACAAAAGATAACATATTTACTCAGAGGAAACATTATATCTAAAATTTGTATGTCTAATGCAAAATCTATGATGTTTATATTCAAAATGATCATCAAATTGTAAGAATTCCAGCAATGTAAATTATATTCTGGCCGGGTAATTTGTATGAATTTTATGAGCTAAAACAAATATCTTCAGTTAATAAAAAAAAAATATTCTTCACGACACTATCTGTCAATCAAAGTACCCCATCTTCCAACCGCCAGATGGTCGGTGTCCCAACCCTCCCCCCCACCCCCCACCAATCCTCCCTTCAAGAGAAAGGTTGGGTGAAAAAACTAGATTTTAACATTTAGTATTAAATAATACCTCAGATTAAAGTTAGGATAATATAATTGACATTGCTGGATTCCTTGTAAAATCAGGGATATTTTGAATATAAATGTCATATATTTTGCACAAAAGATAACATATTTACTCAGAGTAAACATTATATCTAAAATTTGTATGTCTAATGCAAAATATATGATGTTTATATTCAAAATGATCATCAAATTGTAAGAATTTCAGCAATGCAAATTATATTCTGGCCGAGTAATTTGTATGAATTTTATGAGCTAAAACAAATATCTTCTTAATAAAAAAAAAAATATTCTTCACACATGCCAGATGGTCGGTCGGCGGTCCCTCCCTCCCCCCCACCCCCCACCAACCCTCCCTACCAGATAAATGTGTGGGAATTCCAGACTGTTTACCTTTTTAGTAATAAATAATAAATCAGACCAAAGTTAGGATAATATAATTGACATTGCTGGATTCCTTGTAAGACTAGGAATATTTTGAATATAAATGTCATATATTTTGCACAAAAGATAACATATTTACTCAGAGTAAACATTATATCTAAAATTTGTATGTCTAATGCAAAATCTATGATGTTTATATTCAAAATGATCATCAAATTGTAAGAATTCCAGCAATGTAAATTATATTCTGGCCGGATAATTTGTATGAATTTTATGTGCTAAATAAAAAAATTATACTTCACCAGCGTAAAGGGGTACACCCACCACGGAATGTGAGCATCCTGGGTTCTGGCAGGGCACCGCGTAAACGCGGAATGTGGGACCGCGTAAAGTGAGGGTTGTATGTATGTATGTGTGTATATATATATATATATATATATATATATATATATATATATATATATATATATATATATATATATATATATATATATATATATATATATATATATATATATATATATATATATATATATATATATATATATATATATATATATATATATATACTGGAAGTTCAAAGCAGTCAAATGTCAATAAGAGAGTTGGTGAAGGGGTAAGAACACCATTTTACATCTTGCAGAATCTGTCAACTTTTACCACCTTTTGGACTCAGAGCTTTTCTAGAAGTTTCTCCTCTGAGTATCAGAGCAGCTCTTTGAGAATACCACCCCTCAATATTGGTTCAAGGCAGCATGCACAGTACAGGAGACTGGGGCACCAAATATCTCTGAAAGGGTACTGAATCGAAAACTCTCCTCCAGGGAGGAGACCTAACCTGGTAAGATCTCACAGGCAGAAGCATCATGGAGTGTGCCAGGGCCAGTGGGCCTCCTGCGACTCTTTTATTTAGGTACAGGGTATTTATCAGGACCCAGAGCCTGAGAGGGCTCTAATGTTGCAATTGATGATCCAGAGGAGTGTCCAGGCATGGGTGCAGGATCGTCAGGGGGATAATCTGGCCAGCCAAAGGCATTTGATTCTTCCATAAAAAAAAAAAAAAAAAGCTTCACTACCCCTACTCACCCCCACCCACCATGGATCCCATAAAGGGGAAGTGAATGCTAGAGATAAGACCGTGATGACCCCAGGGGTACTGGAGGAGTATACGTGGGTTACCACCAGGGGGCCAAAATAGCAGCTCCTGAACCGAAGGAGTGCCAGAGCCACTGAAGCCTAGTTGATCTTAGCCACATTGGTACCAGCCAATTGACTTGATTGGGTCCAACCAAGTCACCCGTCTAGCTGGAATAAGGGACCAAAGGGATGTGTTGCTGGCCACTGGGTGCAGCATGTGGTATTGCTCAATTGATTGACTGTGGCAACGCAACAGCTTAGGTCATAGGTCACCGAATTAAAGTAAGGGCTTAAAAGCTTAAAATCAAATAATGCAAAGAAATAACATAATAAATAACTTAGAACTTTCGTAAAAACCATTTAAATGTTAATAAATAAAACTAAAAAATTGAGTAGATGGCCAGCTTCCTCCACAAAGGAGAGGACGTCCCCTCTCATGCTACAGACTCCCCCAGTATAAAGAGAATAAGACCCCAAGCACTGGGAGCGTTGTTTACACCAAAAATATTGGTCAATCTCAAGGACTCCTGTCTCCCAGCACAGCAAACACATGGAAGAGTAATCCAGCTCAGAAATTCAGCCAGTCTGTTGTCAAAGCCAGAAGCAGGATAGGAGCCATTTTATCTGAACCCTCCCAGGTAACCTACCCAGTTTGGGAAACCCTTCCCCTCCCCCAAGGAGAAAAGAATCATCGGGACTCACAAGACCCCCACCACAACAAGGTGGCTCCCACTTGATCAAGCACCACAGCTGGGCCGTGAATTTTGTCAAAACACCTTGGAGTATGAATGTAATTTATCACAAGTCTGTGAATAAATGAGCTTATAAAAGAAAATTTAACATGAGCAATAATATATTTAATGAAAAATTTACTTACAATAACTTTTTTCTTGAAGACAGATTTTTCCCCCTCTAACTTTGTGAGCATTGTTGTAAAAATTGCAGCTTTGTCAGGAGAAAGTTCAATTCCATTAAGCCGTGCTTCAAGGAGGAATTTACGTACAACTCGCCTCTGGGCCTCATTCAAGTTTTTGTCCGAGACGTATATTTCCTGTAAATAAATATGAGATGTTACAAAGGTTGCATTAATATGGTTATTATTAAATATCCTGAATATGAAAGGAATTACTCCTTGTACACATGGAATGTACATAAAGCATCCAACAAATATTAATAATGAGGAGCTAAAGCAGACAAGTAGAGACTGTTACCACGAGAAAGTAAGTGAGTACAGTATACAGATCGTTATGGTGTAAAACAGAAATACTATGCAGTGTTGATAGCAGTACCAGAAAATAACTTCAGAAGCTGTCCTATCTAAGCCTGTACAATAACACACATGGTTAAATTCAAATCTTTATGATCATCACTTTCTACTTGCTGTTCAAGTACCAACTAGAGTGCACTGACCTGGCAGTTCATTTCCAAACCTCTATAATTAATTGTGAAGGTCAGCAAAAAAAAAAAAAAAGAGAGAGAGAGAGAGAGAGAGAGATATATATTTTTTTTAATGTGGCCTCCAGCTTCCCCAATAGCCACACCATCGCTGCCATTTTATTACACTAAAATTAAATAGCCTAATAGAAAAGTAGCTACCCTAGCTGTGTTGATTGAGTTGAGCTGCAGATCTATGCAGCAGTCAGTGACTGTTGCCTCATAGTCAATGCCTGCGGCCGTTGTCGGCTTTGGGGCCGAAGATCTCGTTCCCCTGAGTCAAAGCAATGCAGACCTAAGCAGAGAGGACAGTTGAAATCTCAACCAGGCTGTAACGTAACTTCTGGGCTGCTTCCGTTCAGATAACACCTCCGCGAGTCTGGCATAGAAACATCTTGCACTTGGTCCCATCCCACCAGAGGTGTGAAACTGCCCTGATCAACATTCAGAATTCTCTCCCCATATGCCCTGATCTTACCATTCTCGTTTCTCCTTTGTGCAGCATTGAGAGCTAGGTTACGGTGATATGAGGCCATGTGATTGAAAATCCTTATGTCAAAGAAGGCCCGCTGTCCACGCACCTAGAATCCTCAAGCAATGACATCCACATGGGGTTCATTGGATGTGTTTGAAGTCTTGTGACAGTGGTTCTCACAGTCCAATGGAAGGAGGGGCATTTCAACCGTGACAGATTTCCTTCAGTAAATTTGCTGAGATCCCTTACTTCTTCATGCCTCATGCATACGAAGCCCTCTTTTTTGCATACCATGGCATGGTCAATGTCAAAAGATGAGCAACACATGCATTGGGAGGGCAAACCGCCTACTGGCCAACCATACCTTAGAGCAATGGCATCTGTGAATTCTTGTTTATTAAGGATGAAGCCTTTTGCCCTTATCGGTAACATTGTTGGCCAGTACGAGGCGCCCACCTCCTGCGCTATAGCTCCATTTTTTTCCAGTTCTTTGGAAATTGCTGCAGTAGTTTTTTGCAGTTTATCACTTTGGGTGTGCTGCCGTTCTGTCGTAAAGGACCATCGAATCTTGTGTAATTTGTTGGTATCCACCTGACATGCTGTATTCTGAGCTAATATTTGCTCAGTGAAGGTTGCCGTGAGCTTGACAATGAGTTCTGATGTTCTGTGGTGGCAAGTTCCACTGGATTAGTCAATCCCATTCATCCCGGTCTCGGTGGTTGTGCAATGAGTGACCTTTCTGCAGAGGTTAAATAAAGGTTTTTCACTAGAGTTGGGATAAATGTGACCTTGATGGCTTCTTCCAGACGGTGGAGGAGGGGTCCGATATCAGGGATAGCGTGCATTAGGTAATTCCAGCGATGCTTGACTCCATGGGTGAGTGCCGCAAAAGCCGCAGGTGGCTCTGTTATAGCAATATCAGACAGAGCTTGGATTTCCTTCACCCTCTCCTTAACCTTTCCCGTTACGTACACGGTCTTGAAGTCATTCGTGCCAGTTACCACACCTAGATGTCATTAGCCGTCCTTTGTTATTTCTACCTCACTTCCATTGAACACCTCCATTGCCCGTTCATGGTGTTCTGGCTTCACAATGAGGAAAGACTTGCTGGCATTTGGGTGGTACCTTACTTGTGAACCTTGTGATGTCACCAGGTCCCACCACTTTTTGATGTCCTCCACTTTTCCTGCTCCTGTTAGATCATCAGCGTAAGCCACTTGTTTGACCTCGGTTGTTTCATACTTTATTGTATGTTGGAGCATGGATAGGTCTAGTGCGCACATTGCCATGGCGGCAGGGTCCCCCTGCGTTGTTCCCTCATTTGACTGTATGGTGGCATCTCCTCTTAGGGCCTTGAAGCTTGTTATATAGAGGTCTGATGGGTTCCTATAAGTGTTTTCAACATACATTGCAAAGCTTGGACACTTGATCTTGATGTTGTGCAGTGTAGCCTTGTGGTTAACTATGTTGAATGCATTGGAAGCGTCAACCAGGAATAATGCTTCACAACCCCACCACCCAAATATCTTTCTCATGGCGTGAATGGCAGCTTCCCCTCCAGTCTGGTGGCCAGCACATACTTGCAGGTTCCCTGCAGCTGCCCTGACACCATCTTTTACCACCTCCTTTATACATTTTCCATTGATCCGTCTCAGCACTTCCCCTACTCCTGTAAGCCTACATCCTGGATTTTTATCCAGGGGAATGAGGCGGCAGGCCGTCAGTGCATGGAGGTGGTGGCAGCACGAGGTTGCTAGCTTTCTTACAAGGGCGGCGATGGCATTGCAGAGATCACTTGCTACAGCACCATACTTGTTAGTGTTGAGGATGACTCTCCAACCATCTGCATCCAGGCCTGAAGGGCCAGCTCCTCCCTGAGTTTTCAGTACCTTTTTCCATATCATCCCTCTTGTTATTTTCTTGAACAGGACAGCATTTGGAGGGATATAGGCACCCTGGAATCTGATGTCTTTCTCTGCACTTGCGGGGTGGATGTTTTTACTTCAGTTGCTGTAATGTCTCTCTGTTTATTGGCAAAACACCACCGGAAGATTCCTCTGTGAGAGATCTTACCACCGAGGACACTTTTCCCTCACTCATCTTGTTACCAAATTTTATGGCAACATTCTCAGTGTTCTGCTTTCAGTCTGCTATGAATTTTAGCCTCTCCTGCAGTGTTCTTGCTTTGCATAGATCTTCAAGGGCTCATTTATGCCACATTGGCAATCTCCTATTCATTGCTGCCACATTTTCTTGCACTTAGACCTTGCATGTGTCCTTTGACAGCATAGATGGGGTATTATGGCCAGTATTTGAAGAGCTAATGGGGCCAGGGGGGGGGGGAGTTGTGAGTGTTATTGATTATATATGAGGCAAGTCGTCTCCTGGATCATTTCTTTGGTGGCTGCACACTTGGGTGGTTCAAAGAGGTTAGCTGGCGACCACCTGACAACTTCTGAGTAGGTTTCTTTACCCCATTTATCTGCATTTTCCATTGATATGCCATTCCAATGTGGTGGCTGTCTGTCATTCACCTCGTGGACATCTCCTAATGTGGGAGCAGCATTTATGGGCACTACATTTTCAGACTGAGTTGACTCACTGCTATCATTCAGTGTCCAGGCGATATCCACTGTTTCCTCCTGTGATGGCTCCCTGCCCTGCTCAGTGTGAATGACAAGGGTGAGGTCGTCTGCATACTAAAGCTCGGTAATGGAAGCTGCCAACACCTTTGCTCTTGCTTGGAGGCATCTTATTTTGAAACGACCCTTCATCCGGTACTCGATGTCCACCCCACCGGCTAAATTGGCACTGGCATGAGTAAGGAAGGCAGTCAAGAAAATGGATAAGAGAGTTGGTGCCAGTACACACCCTTGTTTAACCTCTGTTTGGGTGGGGAAGAACCCAGACTGGGTGCCATTGTGCAGAACACTTCCGTTTATGCCATTGTGGAGTTGCCTGACAATGGCGATGAATTTTGGTGGGCAGTCAAAACGGCTGAGTGTCCACCAGACGGCTTCCCTGTTGACCGACTAGAAGGCCTTGATTAGGTCAATGAAAGCGATGTAAGGTCACGACGCTGTTCTCTACAGTTTAACTGTATCTGGAGGGCAGCAAAGATCATGTCAGTGGTGCCACGTGATGGTCTAAAGCCACATTAAGATTCTGGGAGGAAGTTTTGTTCCTCAGGAAGAAGTATATTTAGGATGACTCAGGCGATAATCTTGCCAGCTACGAACAGCAGTGAGATCCCACGGTAGTTGCCACAGTCTGACCGGTCTCCCTTGTTCTTATAAAAATTGACAATGGAGGCATCTTTAAGAGCTTGAGGGATTTCCTGCTTTCCCATATATTCTCCATGAGAGAGTGGAGAAGGCTGGTCAGGAGAGGTCCTCTTGTGTGCATGTGTGTGTGTGTAGAGGGGGGGGGGCAGAGATACCCTCCACCTCCTGGGACATTCAATACTTTACAAAGCCTTACCATTTCCATTTCTTAAGGTCAATATAATAATAAAATAGCATGAAAATAAGTGAAAATGCAATGCGAGCATACAGTATACAAGAACAATATAAACATAAAATGCCAACTAGGCTAGGCAATGAAACAGTCTTCTGGCTGCGGCCTGATGTCCTAAAGATATCAACTATAGAGAAGGGATTTTCTGCCTCTTTGAATCCTTCACGGTGGAAACGTTGAATCATTAGCATTGGGGATTTAAGCCTGGGTTGAAGCATATGACCCTGATGTGGAGATACTACACAAGGGCTTCACTGTTCTGATAAAAGGTTACAAAAATGATGAGGATACAATTCTAAATACTGTATAATAATTCACAATTCAATATCAACTTACCTTGCATGCCTCATAGATTGGAAAACTTTGAAACTTGTGTACTCGGGCTTTTCTTGCTCTCTCGTGAATCTTAAGATAGGCAGTGGTATTCATTTCATGATTTTTAACTGTGTAAAGAGTTTTTACATTACTCCAAGCAGTGTTCAGCGGAGACTCTAACTGGTCCAGCTCTCCTACAATATTATCAAATGTTTTTGGCTCCTTTGGATCTGCAAGACAATAAAACATATGAATTCATACTTTACAACCTTTCAATTGGTAGTACCAGTAATAACGATAAGGAGAGAAAACATTCAAAAGGACAAAATGAAGGAAAACATAAAGTGGTGTAGAATGGATTGGGGTGCAGATCTACACAGCTCATTAGAAAAATGGATGACTCTTTACAAGTACAGTACAGTAAAACTTCCCTAAGTCAGACTATATAGAGATTAAGCCAGTTCAACTTAACCAAAAGTCTGACTCAGAGGTAATAACCTTTATAGGTACCCCTTATTGTCAAAAATGTTGTCTAAAATCTTACCAAAACCTAAATTAATTAAATATACAAGCTATATTAAAAGAAATAACAACTTAAATACAGGGGGCCCCCCCAAATTCGCGGGGGCTAGGTTCACAAAATGGCTGCAAATCGCCAAACCCGAAAATAACATTTGCTGGGGGGGGGGGGGAATTTTTTACTTGTGTACAAAGAAATGTATATTCCCTTTATGTGTTTGCCCTTAGGACAATTATTTCTTTTACATATACAGTACAGTCAGTCCTCGACTTACGGCGGGGTTAGGGACCGACGACCAGGTCGTAAGTCGAATTGGTCATAAGTCAAAAATGCGAAAATAATACATAGAAAATCTAAAATGGTGTCTCGTTTTCTTCTCAGCACCACGAGAACTCTCACTTTTATGCTTGTCAGCCATTTTAAAGGGAATTACAAGCAAAAATTTTGTCAGTACACAGCGCGATCACTAACGTCAGGGCTCGAAAATAGGTAATTTGAAAAATGTTTTATACGACAGCGGCAGTCGTATGTCCGGGTGGTCGTAAGTGGAGTAGGTCGTAAGTCGAGGAGTACCTGTAGTATTATATATATGTGTGTGTGTGTGTGTATGTGTGTAGACATACACACACACACACACACACAAAACACATACAAATAAATAATAATTGGAAAATCCTCTGACAAATAATCATAAGCAAATTTATTAAAAATGTGACAGTCTACCCTCAAGTCTGTGCTCTATTAATAAAGTACTGTGATAGAGCACGGACTTGAGGGTAGACTGTCATATTTTTCATAAATTTGTTTCTGATTATTTGTGAGAGGATTTTCCAATTATTATATATTTGTATGTGTTTAGTGTGTGTGTGTGTGTGTGTGTGTGTGTGTGTGTGTGTGTGTGTGTGTGTGTCTACACACACACACACATATTTACAATTCAGGTAAAAGAAATTACTGTCTCTAGAACGAATTGCTCCCTGTAGCAGCAGCAAAAATGCCAGCAACTTTAAAACTGCCCACAGACATTCTTGGGTACATCCAGGGTGTCATCCGCAAATAACCAAGAATAGCAAAGTAAAATTCCGCAAACTTGGGGGCATAGTGTAATAACAACTGAACCTTCCTGGGCATTTACCTTTTCCTACAATACTGTATTACACCAAACTTAATTACACTACTGTACAGGGGTAAACTTAGTTATACTAAACTTAAATTTAATCATTTAAATCACCGTTGGATGCCATTCTATTATCGAACAAGCACGATGGTTGGTGTTGCATCACACAGTCGGTTACAACTCGGCTAAGTCCCAAAAATGCAAATCTAGACTACAGTACAGGTACTCCTCGACTTACGACCTACTCGACATACGACTACCCAGACATACGACCGCCTCAGTTGTACCAAAAAAATTTCAAATTATGTACGCATTTTCCAGCACCGAAACATTTCCGTCCCGTATGAGAGGTGGCGTGGGCTGGGCCGCCTCGTGGTGTACAGCGTCCACGCCATAGCACGTTCAGTTGGTGTTTGGCCGTCGTTGTTGTCGGTAGTGATAGCGCTGTGTACTGACAATATTTTAAATATTTTCGGATCTAATTCCCTTTAAAATGACTGGCAAGCGTAAAAGTGAGAGTTCTGGTGGTGCTCAGAAGAAACAAATGGCAGAGGCATTTGCTACTATTAATAAGGGGGTGCAAATGTTTGACGAAATGGATCAAAATGTTGAGCGTTTTGCAAAAGTTGACAGAATGATCCAAGATGCACTTGCTTGCTACAGGGAGATTTACAATGAAAGGAAAAGGCAAACTGTTCAGTCTAAATTGGACATTCGGTATATTTTAAGAAGTCCCCCATTGCTGTCTCCTCATGCTCCACCAGTGCTGCCTCTTCACTCCCTAAAGATGATCCAATACCTCCAACAAACAGGTATGTTAGCCTGTCTGAAGAAAGCGACATTGATGACCCACCCAGTCCTGTCTCCTCCTCTGCTTCATCCAATTAATGTAGTCTCCATGTTTAATTAAAAAATTATTGGGGCCCCGTGTGTATTCAGCTGACTACATTAAAGGTACAGTAAGTGCACAGTAACACTTTATTCATTTTTCATTATTGATTACTTTTACTATACTGTATTTCATTTTAGATTTTCTATGTATTATTTTTTTTGCATTTTCGACTTACGACCTGGATTTGGGTCCCTAACCCCGTCGTAAATCGAGTACTGCCTGTACGTAAAAAAAAAGTCAGTTGCTTTTATAATGTTATTACTGTGCTTCAACAACTAAGGTCTTTAAGCACATAACAAGATTAATAAAACACTATTACATCAACAATGAAAAAATATGAGAGCTACAATTCTCTGGGTTGAAAATCAGACATAAGTCTGGTTGTCAACACCTGTTTTCACTGAGATGATTGTTACATACTGCAAAGTGTTGCATGTAAGTAATCACAGAATTTTACAAATGAATAAAGAGAAAACTGTATACTGTGCAGTACTGTACTATAGAGATAGGATTGAGGTATATTGTGTGTGGGAGAAGAGAGTGTATCTGGTAGCAGCAGGCGGGTTGTAGCAAGGGTGCATGGCTCTCACCCAATCCTTTACCCAGTGTCCCTTCGACACGTCTTTATGCAATTTCACCCTAATTCTCAAATTATTTAGGTTCATTTGGAGCAAACTGATAAAATATTATCATAAAATAATTAGCCGGTAACTTTCTTTAAAAAGAATTCCGGCCGTTTGTTTACAAAGCGCTAACAACTGATCGTCCAAGCTCCCTTACCGGCACTCTCTCTCATGCTTACCACAACATGTCTTAAGTACTGAGAAAATTTTATTGAACTGTACTATATTTATCAGCACTTAATAAATAATATAGTAGTGTATTTATCATCAGTTAGTAAATAATATTGTACTAGTGTATTTATCAGCAGTTAGTAAATAATATTGCAGTACAGTATATCAGTAAATAATATTGTAGTGTATTTATCAGCAGTAAGTAAATATAGTAACATTGCAGTGTATTTATCATCAGTTAGTAAATAATTTTGTAGTGTATAATACATCTACATATTCCCTGGTTATTCATTAATCAGTTGTCTAGATATACAGTATTTTCTCGATTTAATGAACTAATTCGAGCCACCTGTTCGACAAATCAAAATTTTCGCTAAATTGAGCTTTCAGTCAACTAAGTATACACCCTACCTCCACCTGACATTGCATCAGGTCAGGTCAGGTCTCCCCTCAAAATACTGTAGCTTTCATCTTTATTCAAGACATCTTCAGAGGCAACTGAATTTACAGGGATGGATTGTCAGGTCAATCTTTCTTGGGTGGGAGATTAGTGGGTTTCATGACCTGAAGATATCTTGAATAAAGTCAAAAGCTACAGTATTTTGAGGGGAGACCTGACCTGACCTGAATTCAATGTCAGGTGGAGGTAGGGTGGGGGATTAGTTGTCTCATATTACTGACCTTCTAATTGAACATCAGGTCACCCTTTCTTGGGTGGGAGATTAGTGGGTCTCATGACCTGAAGATGTCTTGAATAAACACAAAACCTAAAGTACTTTTAGGGATATTGTGATAAGTAAGAGTATAATGAGCAAAGTAGTATCCTTTTAACATTATGTGACATCACATTTTAAAATATGGAGTGAGAAAGCAGGTGTGGGAAATTAAAGCGAGGGAGTGGAAATAAGTGTTGTCAAGTGCTCGACAGCTATTTAACTCGCTACCACGCAGTCACACACATGCAAATTTGCCATATAGTGCGACCCTCACTGCTCATGCTTTCTGTTTTAATTCCCTTGTTCGGGGTGTGTAAGTGGTGTTGGAATGTGTGTGTCCTGTGGGCCTCAGAAATGTGATTTTGGAATTGAAAATTTTAAAACTTATCTCGTGCACGAGAGGGTTAATAAGCTCAAATTATTACAGTAACATCTTTACAAATTAATAAATAACAAATTAAAAATATTTTGCCCAGTCAGTATAACAGAGACAGACAACCTTTTTAGGGGTGCACGGTCAGTTTCTACCAGTCTCCAGTCTCTATACGTATACAGAACTAAACAAAGAATTTATTTTAAATACTCTATCATTTGATACCATATCCTGACCACTGGGGCTATTTATACAGACTTTTTCCTGTGAAAAATCCATAATTTTAAGCACAGTATTACTGTACTCACTTTGTACTCAAATGTACTAAGCCAAAGGACTCAAATTTTTATCTTTTGTGCAAACTAGGAGATGTTTAAACTCAAATTAATCACTATATTGCAACGATTCCAGTAATGCAAGTTATATTCTGCTAAGTCATGTCTGTGACATTTTATAAGCGAAAAACTTTAAGCCTAAAATCCTCTTCACCCCATTAATCCTCATCACCCACCATCATCTGCCTCCCCTGCTGGCTGGGAAGAGGGGGGAGGGTGTTGAGAGCTAGGACCAATGCACAGTTATCAGTTGAGGGGTCAGGAGGGACTCAAGGATTATAAAAGACAGGGAGTTTAAGTTGCTTCCTTATAAAATGTCACTGACTTGACTTAGCAGAATATAATTTGCAATTCTGGAATTCTGGCAAGATGGCAATTAATTTGAGTATAAACATTCCACATTTTGCAATAGACATAATAATTTTAGTAATTAACTTAGTACATTTGAGTACAGGCTGTGATAATTTATGCGTTGTGGTTGTT